GGCCAAATTTGACTGATAACATGCATAGACATGAAACTGACCAAACGAGCTTCCGTCCAGCTGCTTTTGCTTTTTCTGATTTCCTAAGTTGATCTAAGAAACGCTTCTGAATTTTTTGAAATTTGCAAAGACAGGATGCGTCAGTGTCCGTAGTTTTACATTTGCAAATAAGTACCTTCAGCAACAATTAATTCAGCAATGACTTTGTTCTTACTTTCGTCAGTGAATTTGTGACATAAACCAGGGAGCAGCAGAAAGATGAGGATTAAAACGTTGGTGTTTCTGACACCAGCCAGTCCTCTGCTTCTGAACGCTGCTGCTGCCATCACTGTGGAAATAAAAACACTTTGAGCTTGAGACGAAAATGATGAAGAATAAAAGAAATGAATCAAATAAAGAATCAAATCTATCTTTCCTCTTGTTATGTTAATAAATATTATAGAAAACTCTTAAGTATAAACCATCATATGGTGTAGTTTTGCTGATCTTACCTGTCTGCTGAAAGGACAAAGAGCTGTTTCACTGTACAGGTGTAGACTGAAAACACAAGGGAATCACACGCTACATACTTAATGTTGTCCTGATGTGATTTCCCTCTGGTCTGTGAGCTGCTCTTTCACTTTCATTTCACATGTGTGATATGATCTACTTTACAGGAACTGAGGCCCATCCCTATGACTTTAAACAGTCCAAGAACATTCCACATATTTAAGCTTTATCAAGATCCATGGCAGCAGGTGGCAGAAAAAGAACGTGAATGTGGTTAAGGACTGCAACTCAGTGTCATTTCAAGACAAACTCTTGACCATTTGTGTATACGAACAGGACAAAATAGATAGCTTTAATAAATAGCTTTTCTGGGACTATTTCACAAACTGCCCTGAGACTGGGCTTGCTCAACACATTAACTACGTTTAAAGACAAAGTTCATAGCATATAGAAATGAAGCAGAAGTCAATCCAATGTTAGAGCCAGCACTAAGTTTGTTAAACATGACGCCAGTCTATAGTCCAGTTTTGTAATAATTCAAATTTTAGATTTTTAATTTGATATTCAATTAATATTTTTCAGATAATAAGTAGTATATCTTAACAATATTATGGACATTACAGAGGACTGATCAATATACGCAATAAACTGTTGTCTTTTCCACTTTTTGGTCATTTTTTGTTGCTGAGCCTAAGCAAGCACATGCCTGTAAGTAGTTGCTATCCTTTGTTTTAAGCTTTCCCGCGATAATTTTGTGTAAGAGTTTAGAGTTTTGTGTGAAAAATGGCTGCGATGCTAACACATTAGCCCGTCTAGGGGATTTCCTTTGTAACATTAGCATTAAGCTAATCGCTAATTACTTGGAGCAAATTAATCAGTGAAGGTGTCAGGATATGTTGATGTGTGATGTAAATGGTAGCATGGCTCAGTGGTAGCATGGTAGCATGGCCCAAGCATGGCTCAGTGTTTGATATTGAGTAAAAAGTCAATTACAGCTGTTCTACTTTTGTGTAAATTTCACAATGTTCAAGATATAGGGGTAATGATAACAGTTTTATTAAGTTTTTACTCACATTAAAATGTTTTTTTACCATATAATTCATTAATAACTGTCAACTGTTTAAACACAAAATTTCCATGATTTGTATTGATTTGTATTTACATCAGAGCTCTCTTATAAAAAGTTCAGTGAAGCTGCTGAATATCATTATGTCACGTTCATTTTAAACATGACTTACTATTGTGTGTAATGTGTGAGTGTATAAAACGTTTATACACTCATTGGTTGCAACATAGATCAGACGTTGTTGCCACCATGAGGTGAAAAGAGAAATTACACTTTAATAATTCTGTTTATGGTGGTGAGCCATGAATTATAAATTTTAAGGTAGGAGTGAAGGGCCTGACCTGGGACCGTGTTTGGCTGCCTGGCTGGACTTTGGTGTAAGACAATGTTTAGTCCACATTGAGTCATGAGTTGTATATATTCTGGACAAACCCATCGATGCCATCACTCTTATAAAAGAAAAAGAAAAAACCCAGAACATAAAGTAAAACTAAAGATTTAAGAAGGAATTTTGCACTGTGACTCTTTCTTGTTTTGTTTAAGAAGCTCACTTTCCAAACCCTGGTCAATGATGCACTCAGAGATTAAACCGCTTTTATTTGTAGTTGACTCGGACGACATCTTCCAAAGATCCAAAGAACGCCAAAGTCCCGACCATTTAGTTCTACATTTCTACAACCATACAGGTTTTTTTCTAGTGAATGGTGTTGTAAACTTGTAAAACATATAAATTACACATATTTAATAAACATTATTTCATATTCATAAAACTAAACGCAAAGTAAACTGCAGATTGATTCTTTCCTGTGTAAATAAAGTATAAAACTGTGACTGTAGGACGTGTCCCTTCATTATTTTCAGATTAATGTTAAAAATACAAAGCGACAAGTGAAACCTAGTTTTTTTGTTTGTTTGTTTTTTGCACTTTAAATGTGTGTGAACTAAATGTTAAAATAATATCAAATATAAACTACATTTTCAGTGTAATTTGATTTTAAATTGTTATTTAATTTAAATGTTTGTCTTATTATTCCATAACAGTGCACTGTAAATGGTGACATATTTAATGATGGACTTTGTCCTTTATTATAAAACTAACTTTGTGTCTTCTTCACTTCTGCTGTTTGCAGGCTGTTTGTGGACATCAAATTGAGCCGCTTCAGAAACGACAGCTGGCACAAAAGCTCCGTCCTGACTGCCTTTAAAGACACGGTTGCTGCATCTCATCCAGAGTTTGACGATGACAATCAGAAAGTAAGCAGCTGTGTTTTTGCACTACACAGCACACTCATCTCTGCTATAGTTTGTACATTTGCACCTGAACCTGCGTTTTGTTCTGTGTGTGTCTGTGTGCAGGATGCCCACGAGTTCCTCGTCTGTGTTCTGGATGTGCTCCAGTGTGAGCTCAAGCTGCAGACAGAAGCAGCTGCCTTGGACAAACCTTCCATCTGTCCAGTTAGAGCTCACATTGGCTTCAAGATGTTGAGCACAAAGAGCTGCAACAGGTAGGAACACAGTAAACTTTGAATGTTTTCATGATGCTGGTGATATTTCTTCAGTGTGAGTCCGTAATCTTTGAAATGATGTGATTCGGCAGATGTGGTGTGCAGTTCTTTGGGCGGGAGGACTACCTCCACCTCTCCCTGGACCTGGTACATCGAGGCTCAGTGAGACTCCATTCTGTGAGCAGCCTTCCACAAATATGTAATTCATCTGTGAAAGAGTTCAACTCTAATGCACCTGTTCCTCCTGCTCCCTGCTGCAGTTGCTCATAGTTGGACTCATAGTTGGACTATGAGTGCCAGTGTGGAGCTAAGAAGCGAAGAGGAGCTGTCGTTCTTGAACCTCAGATCGGTCCCCAAAGGCCTCAAACCACCACGGTTCAGTCGGTGTCGGGCTAACAGTTTCTTTCATGTCATGTCCTCCTATTGTGTGAAGTTGCACTGGGTTGGGACTGGTTGTGTGTGTCACATTTGCGGTGAGCCAATGGCTGTAATGGGGTTGGATGAATTGGAGGCAGGTGTAATGACTGCACTGATACACTGGTCTACTTATAGCCCACACTACAAACACTGCTGTGTTATTTTGTCTCTCTGTGCAGGTATGTAATGTGATGAAACCTGATATGTTCGGGATGGATGGGTTGTGCGCTGTGAATTATATAGTGAAGGTGTTATTTTGTCTCTCTGTGCAGGCCAGGGCCTATTATATGCCGCAGCCTAAAGGCAGCTGAGTTGCAGAGGCCAGTGATCACTGGCTATCTACTTACGGGGTGGTGGGTCTCAGAGGACAACTGCTACCCCTGTGGAAGTGAACAACGTGTGGAGTGCAACTGGCTTTGTGGCATAGCTGGTTCTGGCCTTGGACTATATGTTTTTACTTTGTACACAAATAGGACACTGGACTGTTTTAACTTTTATTTTTTGATCATTGTGTTAATACATTACCTTTAAGAATTTTACTGTTGACTGTCATGTTTTTGCCCACGGTCAGACCTAGAATCGTTTTGTGAGTGTGTTACAGACCTGTTAGCCATGTAGACAAATTGGTGAGCATCAAAGGTGGGAGGGATGAAAATTGCTATCAATATTACTGATTATTCATCTATGATGTTATCGTGTGTGCGTGTGAGAGAGAGAGAGAGAGAGAGAGAGAGAGAGAGAACAAGAGTGAAAAGTAGATTCAAATTCAAATTCAAATTTTATTTGTCACACACACAGAACCATACACAGTATGACATGGGGGTGAAATGCTTGTAGCTGTACAATGCCCGACCATTAAATGACATTACATAGAATATGCTGTGTTTGCTCCAGCATAAATTTACAGTAAACAGAAAGAACATAATGCATTTAACAACTATTATCAAGCTGCTTGCCTGTTGTTTATCCGCTGGTCTCCTCTTTCTAGCGCAAAGTGGGCGATAAACAAACAAGAAAGACGGGACTTGCGGCAGAAAAGCTGATCATTGATCAGTTTCATGTTTGAAGTAATAACAGGAGAGGGAGGGGAGAGAATGAGAGAAGTAGATGCAACTGCGCAGCAAAAACACAGAATAACTCCAGCTTTGTGTCTATTCTAGCTGAAGTACGGGACAAATCGCTTCCTTTTCACCTCAATATGGAACTCCGATGGCCAGTCCAGCTGTGGCTCAATATATCAGTTGTTAAGCTTAACGTGGAAATACTATGCAAACATTCAGGGATGAACTTACACACTTGCTTTACTTCTCTGGGATAGTTTTCGCCGAGATGAAATGCCACAGGTCTTGGAGACAACAGCCGCTCTATGACACATACTGCTCCGATGCGCCGAGCTGGGTTACGCCAATTAGCGCGTTTTGTGAGGTGATTCTGTGATACTTCGGATCGGATTACATATTTTATTTCTCTCCGATATCCGATCCAGTAATTTAGGTCAGTATCGGACGGATACCAATACGTAATATCGGATCGGTCCATAAGTCACCATAAGAAGTGTTTCTGAACTAAAACAGCCCAGTGCGCGCTCCTGACGCAGGGCAAACAAATTCTGTCGGGGATAGACAAAATTCAAAGGTTCCCCTGAAGTAGACTGTGATCTGTAAGCCGCCAAAAAACACGAAGACATCCCACAAACCTGAGATGGACTCGACTCACCTTCCAGCAATACATTTCTCTGGCCTGAACCGGTCCAACAACTTTGGAACGTATACCCGGAAATGGAAGAAACCGGAAGAGACAGCGTGGCACAGTGAAGAAAGTGCAGTAACCTAACAGGTGTGGGCCTCATCTAGGGTTGCCAACTCCCTGAAAAATAAATAAGGGACACCTCGTGGCCAGGGCCGGGCGACCCAGTTGTCTTCACCCTTCCCAGTGTGGTGAATTTTCTAGCTCTTTTTTTGTGTGTGAAATTATTTTTTTAACCATTTGACTTGAAGTTGATTTAAGTAGATGCATATTCTATTCTTTGTGATATGAACACATGTGAAACAAATGATCATTTAGCCATTTATTTTTAGCTCAAAATGACAACATTAACACAGTAAAACAGGTCTCTTTCTTAAACAGAAGCCTGTCATGCTTAACTTTTGAGAATATAAGTAAATCTTTCTTTAAAAGAACTCTGTCCTGCTTAACTTAAAATAATAGAAAACAATAGAAAGAAAAATATTCTTGTAACAGTGCACATTTAGTGCATTTAGTACAATTGGCTTCAGTTGAGGTATTATTTCAGCTTTTCTAAAGCTAATCAGCTGCTCCTGTTTGTAAACCCACTTGTTCCCATGATTACGCATCTTAACTCATCATCATTATTCATCTATGTATTACTTTTATGTATTAGTCATCTATTTGTTGTAATCATCTATCCTTGCAGTTGTTTATTACACAAAATAAGTTATATTATCACACTTCTGGCCACATAGCGCTGATATTCACTGCACATGCCCATAGTAACTTTTTCCAGCCAGGTGTTTTCCTTTTCCCATTCTTCCCTTTCTCTGAGGGGAACAAACGTTGCTGCTCTAATGCTGGGCTCACACTGTGCGGTTTTTGGCCCATTTTGAGACGATTTTTGAGTCGTGCGACCGTTTTGGTGATCGGACCGATTTTGGCCTTCATCGTGCGTCGTGTAGTATACGTGGGGTAACGAGAAGTGATTAACACCTCTTATGCAGGAAAAAACAACTGCGTATGAGTCATATCAGTGCACACTAAGAGAACTGCAAATCAGTCTGACTGTAGAAGTAAATTTTACTTTTTCTAAAAATAAATGTTGTTTTCTTCTTCAGGCAGAATACAAGAAGAAACAAGCAAGTGAACTTGATGAAAAACTACAGTTTCTTCAGTCTTTGGAAGAACTAATAAAGACATCATCATTTTTTGAGGATTTTCCTGCAATGATGGACGTAGTAAATAGTTTGAGACGCTTCTACAAGAGAACCATCATCACATCAGACAGAGAGGAAGAAAAAAAATGGTGAAAATGGGGAAACAAAAGTGGAAAACATGAAAATCCTCCTAAAACTCAACAGAATAAACTTTAAAAGTTTCTATAGAATGTCTTTAAAATAAATAATAATAATACAAAATATACCATAAAATAATAATAAATCTCATCATTAAATATGAAAAGACTGAGTGGTTTTCTGTAAGAGAAATGACAGCTGTATGTTGTTTATGCTGTTCTCACTGGGAAGCAGCTTTTATTGCATTTTGCATAATAGACTGATAATCGTGGTGTTATTAAAACTACTTTTTTTCTAACTTTTGATAAAAAACAAAACAGAAACTTGTATTCACATATTGTTATCTTAATGTGTTCCCTTTTATTTGTGTCTTCTGTTGGTTAATATAGATCTTCAGTTGTTTGCACCCTTCTATTTAACTTTGAATACTCAACAACAACAATGAAGGTTAGCCCTGAATACTTGTCCTAGATGAAATAAATTATATCACACTAACTGCTCTTTGTGTTCTTTTCTTTTTTTACTCTTTTTTTACTCTTTCTACATCTTCTATGCTTTATAAAAACATAGTAAATATTACTTTATTTCTTCCCCAAAACTGAAAGAATTAAAAGTATGTATCTAGTATGGCAGGTTGAGAGTTACACTGAATTTAATTTTTTAATTAAAGGAAACGACTCAAATAAGTAAATATAATCCAAACTTTTCTAGTACTTATTAAACACTAATAAAAAAT